AATTAACGGGATGGCAAATGGATTTCCCCCCCAGGAACGATTAACAAAACAATTGGTGCTAAACTTCCACTAGATTTCCAAAAGTGGCTTTTACGCCGTGTGAAAGTTCACATAAAACATAGAAATCATCAGAGATGTCATGTAAACAGAATAAAGTGCTACCTGAATGCAGTTTTAGTGACTAACCCATGATATGGTAGAGAGTAACATGATGTACAGGTAAGTGTATCATCAGAAATGAATGTTTTTGAAAGCCAATTATATTTTGCTCTCACTGGACCAGAAAGTGTTTCAGCAACTCCAAGAGATCCTGAAAAGTAACCATTTTTAATAACTCAAAACCATGTATTGTTTCCTTAAAGTGTAGAGTGGGTAGGAAACTTAGGCAAAGGCAGTTCCCACCCCCTAAAAAACCCCCCAGAGACCCTGCCTTACTGTGCCACAGAGAAGAGCTTTTGGGTTAAGCTCAGGGCAATTTTAGTTGCTAAATTAAAATATCATGCTGCAGGGTCAATTTTGACTTACAAATTACAAGATCCGTCACACAAGAAATTCTGGTTGAACCCCCAGCCAAAGTTATCTGAATACTGTAGTTAGTTTCTCACTCTGGATTCTAGCACCTTCTAAATGTATCGTATTCAAAGGTATGATAACATAAACCAGCAGCCCCAGAGGCTTTCGCAAACATCATTATCACTGCTGACTTGTTTTGGTGGATAAAACATTTCTCCCCCTTTGATAACTTATCCTTCATGCTGCTTTGTGGAACTGAATTGGAAGTCAATGGATGTGCTGACACTTGTTTTCCTGACTTTTCAGGAAACAACAAAAGGAGCCCCAGGAAAGCCATCATTTTGCTCTGAAGTGCATTTAGAGAGAGAGGCAACAGGAGAGCCTTCATAGAAGAACACATTTGATCTGTATCACAAACATGATTGAATGAAAAAGGCTGTACTTTGTATACTGTTGAAAGAGAGCTCCCCATGGTATGTTCCATTCCCTGACGTGCACATCAAATTGAATTAGCACATAGTGATCTGGCAAAAAATGTTGCCTGAATCAATCATTTTGGGATGGTTATAGGAAAACTGCTGTGCATTCAGTCCAGCCACCAAATAAAAATCAATGAGATCTCACTGACTTTCTACAGGAGATACCATCTGAATAGCTCAGGTTCTGACCTGTGTTTAGCAGCAATGAGAAACCGGCACTTAAGACAATGACACCTATTTTTAGCTCGGACGAGGCACATGCATAACTACTTTAACTGCATGGAGACCTTTTTCAAGAAGCAAGTGATGCTAGAGTATATAGTTGTGGATAAGTTGTGAAAAAGGCAAATATAGAGCTTTTCTCCAGCATGTAGATTTCAGGAGATGAGCACCTGTTTTTTGGAGGGTGGGGTTCACAGATATGAACTGTAAGGTAAAGGTAAAGGACCCCTGACATTTAAGTCCAGTCACACATGACTCTGGGATTGCGACGCTCATCTCGCTTTACAGGCCGAGGGAGCCGGTGTTTGTCCACAGACAGTTTTTCCGGGTCATGTGGCCAGCATAACTAAGCGGCTTCTCGGGCAACAGAACACCGAAACCAGAGAGGCACACAGAAACACCATTTACCTTCCCGCTGGAAGGTATCTACTTGCACTTTGACGTGCTTTCAAAGTGCTAGGTTGGCAGGAGCCGGGACAGAGCAACGGGAGCTCACCCCCTTGCGGGGATTCGAACCGCCAACCTTCTGATCAGCAAGCCCAAGGCTCAGTGGTTTAGACCACAGCGCCACCAGATGTGAACTGTATAGAATGTTTTTGGGGGGAGCGTACATTTTACCTCATATCTCTGGTTCTATAGATGCTAACCACTCCCTTTTGAACAAAAGCTGGGATACCTGTGTAGTGCAGCAGGAAATAATGAGTTTATTCATACACTTATTCCTTTAAAGGCATGCTTGCGATCTGCACAGCTAAAGTTAATGTCTACTCTGGTCTTTAAACTCAAATGATAGTGAAATTGTTGTTACCTCCTTTTAGCCCAACTTCCAAAGCTTTATAAATGAAAAGTTTCCAAACTTATTTCTAGCAAAACATAACAGTCCCCACAAAACCACCTCCGGCATGACTCTTATGAAAAATTAAGATGTCCATAATGTTGTCAGTTTTTGCCAAACACACAGTTTTGTGGTAAAATAGCCATTTTTCACTGCTGACCTGCTCTAGTCGGATCCATCTCTGCCATTAATGAATTATTGTGACTTCTGGAAGAAATCAGCTATGGCTGATGTGGATCTGATTCCTCCTTGGCCTAATATAGCTTTATAAATGAGAAAAGTGGATAGAAATGATACAATTACTTTCTCACACGCATCTGCAAGAGAGACTTTAATTTCCTTTACCTTTTTTTTTTTAAAGATTACTGCAAATCTGTTATAGAGTTCTTATTTCACAGAATCATAGAACCATAGGGTTGGAAGGGACCTTGAGGTCCAACCCTCTGCCTTGCAGGAACCACACCTGAAGAATCCCCAACACAGATGGCTAACCAACCTCTGTTTAAAAACCTCCAATAATTGAAAGCCCACCCCCCTCCGGGGAACATGGTCAGACAAGATCAGAAATGGCCAGGCTCCCTTGCTCCCAAGGATTAGCAATTTCCCTGAGCTTTGTCCTGTGTCAATACCTCAAGAAGAGTGCAGTTCTTTGGAGCCTTAAATATTATTCCTGGTGGTAGGACATTTCCCTGCGGTTGGTTCCCACCCACCCCTTTACTAACATCAATTTAGAAGGCAGGGCAAATTACATGGTTTCTTCCTATGCCACCACCGTCCTTTCTGGAGGGTTGGGACGATCTACACTCAGTGCTGTTAACATTAAGAAAGGGTTAAGGAAGTGTTTTGATAACTATATGGACACATGATGTCCTACTTTTAACAGTCATAATGTGTTATTAAAATATGATACCAAGAGGGCGCTGCAGAGCAACCAGCAATAGGGAAACATCGTTTTGACGAAAGAAACAAAGGTTGTTTTCTTTAAAAAAAAACCACACACCACGATTTAGTTTACAAGTATGCCTTGTGATGTTTTAGAACGATATATCCAGTGCCTTTTTTGGGGAGGTACTCAACAGTATGCAGCACTGACACCTTTTTTCCCAGAAGAAAAGCACTGGATATAATATCATTCTAATAACATTAAATAGGTCAGTGTAGATCCAGCCTAGGACTATACTTATTTAGAAAGGAACTATGCCATCTATCCTATGTGCATAGGAAGCTGCCTCACCTGGAGTCAGACCATTGGTCCATCCAGCTCAGTATTGGCTACATTGACTGGCTGTGGCTCTCCAGGGTTTTAAACAGGGGACATTCGAAGTCCTACCCAGAGATGCTGTGTATTGAGGCAGCAAAACAGATGCGCTGTCTACTTTGTTGCTTCATACAGATGGTATAAGAACACCATGAGAAGACTGAAGGGAAATGGCTCCCATACCACATATGGAAAATCCATTGTATTTTGCTTATTTGCCAGTCTGGCTGACCTTTCACTGTGGTACCAACATTCCCAAGGGAGATATACTACACCTATTGCTAACCTACAGACTTCACAGCACCAATGCAAGGTCTCTCCCACGCTTGAAACAGATTGGATGGTCGTCTCTCATGGATGTTGGATTGGATTAGATGACTTCTGGGGTACCTTCCAAATCAGTGATTCTAACTTGAATGAAGTTCCTAGTTATAGTCCCTGCAAGCCCTTTGCTGTAATAAATTCTGAGAGTAGGCAAGGACATTCCTCTTACCAGTCACATTATTTGGGAGGATGACTTACAGAGAGTGAAGCTATAAATGGGGCCTGCCTAACCTTCAACTCTTTTGAGCTTGGTCATAAGATGCATTTTGAGAAAACCGTGATGATCCCTAAATGTATGTTTATGTAACTATATAGGACAATATTTGTGGCTGACCTCTCTCTGTGGTTCCAACATTCTCAAAGGAGAGGGACCTATTGCTGACCTACAGACTTTACAGCACCAATGCAAGGTCTTTGCTTCTCTTTTAAGCAAGCTTTTAGGAGGATGCGGTATAAAGTTCTGTAATTTTATTGACCGGCTGCAGATATGACTTGCTGACTTTTTTGTTTTTAATGGTTGATACCTTATACTGTACATGCTGTTTTGTTTTTTATGGAAACCCTCTTCGAACAAATTATTGGAAAAAGAGGTACGTAAGTGGGGATAGGTGAAGGCTCATACATTAAAGCTGCATCCAAAGAAGAGAGATGCTGTTGAAGGATGGAACTGACCTTGGAGATGGATCGCAACAAGTTACTGGATAGGCTTCCGCAATTAAGAAAGGTGCAGGTGCATAAATCTGGACTGTTCCTACATTCAGCATTGAGGAGCAGCCACAGCTGAATAATAGAGCTAGTGAAAGGAGCCAGATTCAATATTGGGCAACTGGATTTAGGGCTAGGAAAGACCCCTAGGATAGACAGCCATTGTCAGCCAGCACCCATGTAATTTTCCAGGTCAGAAAAGCATTATATATGAAACCTGGGGAAAGGGGGGAATTGTTTGCTGTCATCTTCAGGATCTCTGCATTCATAACTCAGCTTCTTTTGCTGCATTTTTTTTCTTTTTTCTTTTACTAGTTTTCCTTTTCCTTTTTGTTATTGTACTTGTTTGTGCATATTGCAGCAGTTTGGGGGAAAGCCAAACTCTTTCTAGGAATTTAGGACAAGTGAGAGGATTTCATTATCTTAGAATGTGATTATCGACTTTACAGATTTTATTCAAACTGCTGCTGTTTTTGCTGTTATGTTGCTTACATATTTGAAAAGAAAAAAGGAAAGCATCAGTAGCTCAAATGCTGTCAGATGACTTCAGTGACAGCTTCTCATCTCATGCTTATTTCATGAAACAAGCAGGAAATCAAAAGTTACCCCCATTACAAAATAAAAGCTGCACTTATGGCCACATACCACAGAGTTTCTGGGGATATTTATGGGTGTTTCCGTCGGTAGAGCCTGAGGCTCTTAATCTCAGGGTTGTGGATTCGAGTCCCACATTGCATGAAAGATTCCTGCGTTGCAAGGGCTTGGACTAGATGACCATCATGGTACCTTCTGAGTATGATTCAGAATGCTTCTTTTAACCTATAATCCAGTATCTCATGGAACATGGAGCATGAATCTACACAGATCCTAAGATTATCCTGGTCCAGGTACCTGCCTCTAAGAAAGTCTCTCCACCTGTGGAATGCTCTCTCCAGCTAGCCCCACCTGGTGCCATCACTGCCATCTTTTTGGTATCAGGTTAAGATTTCCCTATTCTCCCAGACATTTGAAAGAAAATGACTCAGTGGTGTTAAGGCTGTGTGATACTGTTGCATCTTGTGCCAGCTGGGGCTGGTGGGAATTGCAATCCAGAACATGTAGATTGCACCATTATGGATGCTAGCTACAATGCCTATGCTCTACCTCCATAGTTGGAAGCAGTAATACTTCTGCATACCAGTTGCTGAAGACGACAGGATGGGTGAGTTCTCTTCTACGCAGATCCCGCTTACAGGTTTCCCACAGGTATCTACATAGCCACTGTGAGAGCACTGTGAGAGCAAGATCCAGCAGGCTCTTCTTATGATCCACTGTTCACCAGGTTGGCAAAGGCTGCTTGATCTGATATGTGAACAAGGAACATCCAGCAGTTCCCTTTTTCACAAAGACATAGATTAGTGGTGTCAATATTTAACTCTGGGATTGGGTAAACAAATCCATAACATGCATTTATAGTCATTGTCCAAACTCGCAGCCTGCAACCCATCAAACTACAGGCAACTGTGCGATATAGAAACTGGCAGCGATCAGTTTGCCTTCCTGCATGCTGAGCACCCAGAGACAAATGTCATTCAGTTTAACAGCAGTCGAGCCTTAAATCCTTCTCTGAATCCCTCCTGCGCTGCTGCACTGTTAAAGACTAGCAGGTTGCTCAGCACAATTAGGCATGAGTGTCTCAACGGCCCAGATTGACTGGCATTAATTAGCCTTGTTGAACGATTAGTCATTGCCCATAAATTTGCTCTTGCCATTCAGACCGTGCTTGAATTTACCGGCAGAGAAACAGGTGGGAAATGCTTGAGCCTATATTTTCATCTTTTTCCTTAAACACAATTTCAAATATCTTGTCAAGATAAATGCTTTCAATGAAACAACCCCCCCCCCCTCAAATTAAAATAAAATCAGAAAACAACATTCTAGGTTGTTTGCAGATCTGTAACTCTCAGGAAAACTCCTTTTTGTTTCAAAGGAGACACACTGTCTACGGAGAGAAGTCTCTTTTGTTATACATTTCTTTACCCATGATGAGAGGCTTGATATGCTAGTAGTGCCTGGTTAATTTTGCTTGTTTTTAAAACTATTTTCTTAAGAGCAATGGTGAGGAATCCTTGGCCTTCAAGGTGTTTGATATCCCCCAGTGTACAGACAATGGTATGATGGTTAGCCACACTGGAAAGTTACAGGTTCCCCATTCCTATCTTCTGACTATAGGGGTGTCCATATGTTACTTTCAGTGAGTGTACAATTTGTGTGTATAAACAGCTGTCCAGTACCCTCACAGTTATTCACAGGTAACATTAACCAGCATATAATCTGTGCACACAATAGCTGAGCTGCACAAGCCAACATATGTGTGCTTTCACACAAACACTTGCTCATATGCAGAACTGGTTTACACCTGTACCCCTTGGCCTGAATGGGCTTGTTCAGTCTGAAAATGCAGAGCTCACCTAACCTGTAATCTCGTTCTTATGCAGTGGCCAGGCGATATATTTCATCTTTAGGATAGCTAAGTCAGTAGAGCATGAGACTCTTAATGTCATTGCCGTGGGTTCAAGCCCCACATTGGGCAAAAGATTCCTGCATTGCAGGGGGGTTGGACTAGATGATCCTTGTGGTACCTTCCAACGCTACAGTTCTATGATTCTGTGAGGCATTTGAATTAGGGTTCCAAAAAGGACAGGGTGCCTAACTCTTTAAGAACTCTGGAAAAGTCCAGCATTCAACAGGGATTCTCTCCCATCACTGCAACTGAAGAAGCTACACCTGTATAATTTCTGTCTTCCACAGACCTTCAAACCAAAATGTATATTACATTAAATGTATAGTGTGCAGCAACATCTGTGGAAGGTTTTTTGTATTTGCAACAATGCTAAGTCTATATTTACATCCACATGTAATAACTTAACCCACTAAATTTTAAACACACCATCAGCTATTTGCTTGTATGGTGTGAGAACTTAACTTAAGGGTTATAATAAATTAATATAAGCTGTGATAACCTGGAAGAGGAACCTTTTTCACTGTGGAGTCCAGTTCATGAAACTGGCTCCCCCCAAAACAAAGCAAGCACCAGCTCTGATGTGCTTCCACTGCTTGCTAAAGATCCATCTGTTCTGTTCACCCTGGCATTTGCAGGTTGCTGAATTCTGAGCCTGGATAGATTCTGATGTATTTTATTAGGGTTTCCCCCCTTTCACTATCCCATAGTTAATGCTGATGGGGAAACCTTAGTATTATAGTGGATGTAAGCATAGCTAAATGACCCACATTTAGTTTAACCCACAAAGGGGCAGAAAACATTTCCAAGCTGGAATACAGTCATAAAAAAAGATGTCCTGTGTGTCCTGTGTCTCATGTCCACCTTCCCCTAAATTTAGTTGAAACAATGGTTACATCCGTTAGATAAATGAATGACCATATAAGGTGAGCTTCACCTAATGAGAGTCTCCTCCATGCATCAAAAGGAGGAAATCTCTAAAGTGTGAGTCATTCTGCCACTGTTCTCTGGTCCTGAATGGCAATTGCTTGCAAACTGTAAACTATTGAATTAATGAAGGAAGAAATTGGTTTAAGAGTTGGCACAGAGCTTCTGTGATTACTTCACTACAAAGATGGTACCAGTCAGGAATGTCAATGGGATTTATATTAATTTATGGGGGTCTAGTCACAGGCTCGTCAAAGGGTGAGGCATAATCCGTGGCTTGGGAAGACACCCAAGCTGCTCCTTGACTCTCTGCTCATTCATATATGCATCCATTTTAATTAGGGTCACCAAATGTAAAGTGGGGTAGAGCGCCTATGCTTTCAATAGTTACATGCAAGAGGAAACGCTGGCAGCTGCAGCTTGTCATATTGAAGCAAAAAGACCTGTGTGTGCCTGCTGAAATGTGTAAGATAAAACATGGTTACAACTGAGGCTGGATTTGCATATGCAGCCTATTGAGATGATAACACTCTAAGGTGGAAGAACAGATCATATTATTGCAGTCTAACAGTTCTCTGCAACAGAAGAATCAAGATCTTTCTCTGAAGCTGGAGAACTTGAAAAACAATGGCCTATAAGTAAAGGTAAAGGACCCCTGACAGTTAAGTCCAGTTGTGAACGACTCTGGGGTTGCGGCGCTCATCTGGCTTTACTGGCCGAGGGAGCCGACATTTGTCTGCAGACAGTTTTCCCGCTTCTGGCAAAACCAGAGCAGCACACGGAAATGCCGTTTACCTTCCTGCCGGAGCAGTACCTATTTATCTACTTGCACTTTGATGTCCTTTTGAACTGCTAGGTTGGCAGGAACAGGGACCGAGTTCACTCCATCATGGGGATTCGAACCGCCGACCTTCTGATCGGCAAGCCCTAGGCTCAGTGGTTTAGACCACAGCACCACCCGCGTCCCTATAAGTATCTACCTGCAATTTAATCCTAGCATGTATGGAGCCACTGAACATTGTAGATAATTCACAGGTATGGTCTAGGGCATGCATTCAGTTCATGTGGTTCATTTTTATAGGGAAGGTCCCTGGTTCAATCCTTGTGTCTCCAGCTAGAACTGGAATGCCTCCCATCTGAAAACCCAAAGAGCAACTGCCAGACCATACTGATCTAGATGAATCAATGGTCTGATTTTGTACAAGACAGCTTCCTACATTACTAAATATTTAGCCATTTCCCCAAAATCCAGACGTACAACATTTTCCTCTTAGAGTAGCAGATGGTTTTGAGGTCAGCTGTCTCTTTAGTATGGAAGAATGTCAATAAAACTGAGATCTTCTTGTGTCAAAATCTCAACATTATGAGAGAGAAAATTCTGCAGCGCCCATTACACCAGTATAAATTGTATGGCTGTGACTTCATCCCTATAGACTACTGTCAAGAAAGCAAGTGACCTTTCAGATTCTTTTCTGACAAACGTTCTTATTTTATCAAAGCAAGAATTTGCTTCTCCCAGTTACATTCATCCTTAGGGTCGATTCAGCATTGCAAATCCACTAAAATGTGAAGGCATCCTTCTAATGTGCTAATTTATAAGATATAGCTGTCAAGCAAGTCACTACCGTATCCCAACTGGCTTTGGTCTAGTGAAACAATATGGCAGCTTGAGAACTGATGCCTTTGGGGAGCTGGTCTCCATCTCCTACAACTTGTCTGCTTTCCTTGTCATCCTGCTACGTGTTGCTTCTGCTCCCAAGAGTTATTCGTGAACTAAAAAACAAGCAAAAAACCATTTCACATTGTTGGTGCTCAGGATAGGGCAATTGTTCCGCTTCCCTTTGGGACTTGAGGAATTGTTGCAGTTCACTTCCTAGGTAAAACCGATTAGCTTTTGTTTTGCTTTTAATTGTGAGCTCTAAATGGTTGCCCACCCTCCACTTGTTATGAACCATATAAACTTGATTTACAAAAGAAACACAACTTGTTGCTAGGCGGAGGTGCCTTTGGCATCAAAAGACTTATTAATAAAAAGCTAGCTTCAGGAAAGTATTCGCTGCACTTGCTATCTTACGCTAAGTTTTATTGGCTGTTTTCTTGCTCTATGCTTCCAGCAAAGTGTTTAAAAAATTGGGGAGTCATCTGGCAGCCCTAAGATAGGTATTTATTTATTTATTTAATTACAAATGGGTTCCTGCAGTGAAGAAACAGCTAACATCTGCATTGAACTGGACATGGACTAATTTCAGAATTTTGGCCTTAATCCATCTCTCTGAAGTGGAACCAGAGTGGGTGTCCTGAACTGACAAACAGGGAGAAGGAAGAGGATCCCAGTAAAGGGTATAGCCAAGGCTGGGACATACCGCAGCAAGCAGGGGATGGGGAAGGAAATACTCAAAGAGTGATGGAAGATGTTGAGGGGATGGGGGTCAATGCATAGGAACCAGAGCAGCAGGACCCATCACCAGAGCCAAAGGGGTCCCTGTCCCCATGAACATGGTGGACTCAGAGGCATATGGGACAGGAGGAAGAGCATTCTAGGAGGCTGAGGCAGGCAAGGGCCCACAGCCCAGCTCCCTCGCAGGCCAGGTGGGTCCTGCTAGCTCAGGGAGATGGTGTATGATTCCTCAGCTGGAGTAGGCTCATAACAGGTGAGGGTCACATGCCTCTTCAAGCCCAGATGCTGCAATCAGCATACAAAGTACAAATGAGAAGCAGAGCTGAGGCGCTGTGTCTGCTCAACTACCCACATTGGTAGACCTTGAATTGGATGTTTTTGAACATTCTGTGGGACTGTGCATTAAGTTTGACTCTGGACTGTATCCTGACTGCTGGACCTCATACTTGGATTACTCATGGACTGTGTTTCTTGGACCTTTCTTGTGTGGATTGATCCCTGGTCTTTGAACTTTGGACTTGACATACTGACTTGCTGCCAGGTAGGCCAGGGGTCCAGGTATCCTGGTTTGGAGATGTATAAGGCTTTGGACATCATTTAAAGTTCATTTTGAACTTGAAATTCATATATTGAGCATCCTGGTCCTGATTTTCATACCAATCACACTCCATTGACTTCAACTTATTTTAAATTAGAGAGCAGTGTCTGCAAAGTTCTATTCAGGAGGTTAACATTGCTTCTTAGTCACTATCTGTGGGTTGGAAAAACAACAACGCATAACTACCGGTATTTCTTAAAAATTATTTAAGATCATTGTGTTAGATTTCTGTCATCATTTGAAATGTGTATAACTAGCTTCCAAACCAAAAAGCAATTCCCCATTAAAAAAAAATAGCCCCCATCTCAACTCCCCATCTGTTTCTTGTATTGCCACTTTGGTCTTCAGATTTCTTCTCTACTTATTGTGCATTCGGCCTCTACTAGAAGCTGATGCACTGTTTGCTCCCAGTGCATATGCTTAGTATAGCTGTATTTGAGTTTAAGGTTTGAGAGTTATGGTAGCTGCTTGTTGGGTATTCAGGCTTTTTTGTTGGATTGTCTTAATTTTGCGAAGATTTGATGTGCTACTATATCGCTGTCTGAAAACTGTTGCCAGACTCCAAGTGGCTTGTGTACTGGACTGCAACGCAGTTATTAAGAAGCAACAGATTGACTCAAAGAAGCAAGTAAGAAGTTGCACTGTGCAGACTCACATTGTAGCAACAAAGACAGATTGTGCAGAGGTGCAGGAGAAGTGCAAAGAAGAAACTTTTCCATTTCTAAGGGTTCCCCCACATTTTCAGTACTGGCAAGAGAAACATAACAAAGATTCTCTTGCCAGTATTTCCACTGGCGATAATGCTGTGTAAATGTGTATACACGCTATAGCAGCTACTTGTGGCTAGTGGTTGTTTACGGCAGGATGTGCAATGAACCATATTCAAGTCATTCTGGAGTGTTTTCCCCCTTGTGGTAATGTTGGTTGTCTGGGTAGGTGGGCGTCTGCTTTAAGCATAGCATAAAGATTTTAATGCTGTATGCCATGGGGAATGAGCGGAATATTTGCCTTTTTCCTGTCTGCAGTTAAATATATGTGCTGCTTGAGAATCTCTGCAGGACTTCTCCTCCTTGGTTGGTTTCTGCATAGATAAAAGCAAAAAATGAAGGTGCCAAGAGTAGTAATAAGATGGCTTTAGCTCTAGATGGAAAA